CTTTTTCTCTCAGGTTGAGGGAGAGTAAGCTCAGGGCAAAAACACTGCCTTGAAAGGAGTGTGTTGTATATCTATTCTTATACTTGGTGCTTTTTATTTAAATGCCATACTCTGTGCTTCTGTAACTGATGCTTAATGGCATCATCAGGGAATCCTGGGATATAACAAGGAATCACATCCCAGGTTTTGACCCCGATATCTCAGGGCCTGGGATAGACCTGACCTGGTAATCCCTATGGTTTATACTTGAGTGGGGTTTACACTTGGGACTGCCTTTTCTGCATTTTTTAAAACTGGTTTTGCTTCTATATATCCTCAGTTTGCCACTCAGAAATTAAGCAGATACAGTAAACAAATTGTGGGCAAAGCTTCACATACTTGATGGTTTCTTGCTGGATGGCTGTTGAAAGCACATGAGCCAAACAAATTAAAAGTTGACAAACATACAGTACTTAGGCATAAAAAAGTTACAGTGGTTTAGAGAATGATGGAATATTGATTAAAAACAACAATAAAGAAAGAAAGTCTAGAATTCTTCAATAAATCTCTGGAATAAATGGAACTGATTCTCAAGAGGCTTCCAGATACATGACTAATCGAATCACAGAAATTTAAGTTGGAAGGGATGCCAAGGGCCATCTAACCCAACCCCCTGCTAATGTAAGAAGCCACAATCAAAAGATCTCTGGGAGATGGCTATCCAATCTTGTTTTAAAAGCTAAAATGAAGGAGGTGGACTCCTGGCACTACCAATCAAAAGATTGTATGCAGCTGTTTTCTCTTCTCCAGTTCAACATATTTTTTGTGGAAAAAAAAATGAGAGGAGTGGGGAAATGGGAGATTCACAAGCAGAGTTCTGGAAAAGTTATTTCTTGGAGGATGAGAAAATGAACTACAGGTCTGGCAGGCTGCATGCAGCCTGTGAGACTTAGTTTGTTTACCCTTGTCTTAGAGGAATGCATTCATACACACTACAGGGGATCTGGTTGCTTGCAGCTGAAGGTGCAGCGAGAGAGAAGGTACAACAAGTTCATCTCATTGGTGGTAGGGCAGTCAAATGTGAAAGAGCCATTGTATCGATTAACAGTCCAGTCATGGAAAGGATTTCATCGGGTTTAGTCATAAAAAATTTGTCATGCAAATTGCACCAGGTGAAATGCCCTCTTCTAAATTATGACAGGTGCAGGAACCCTGTCTTGGCTATTTTACATAGTAGTTTCATATGTTAGCCTTTACACAACAGGTGAAAGTGCATACCCTCCAACTATCCCACTTTGGTAGCAAGCTCCAATTTATCTTCTGTTGCACTTTTTCAGCTGCTTTTAACATGTCTGTTTCTACCCCTTCCCTCTTGGTCCGGCTTATTTCAGTTATGCAAACTGAAAAAAAACTGCAAACATCTGCAGAAGGAAGTTCCAGAGGTTGGGAGCAGCCACCGAGAAGGCTCTCTCTCATGTCCTCACCAAGTGAGCCTGTGACGGTGGTGAAATCTAGAGAAAGCCTTCCTCTGTACATTTTAGTACTCTGGCAGGTGTGTATGGGAAGATGTGATCTTTCAGATAGTCTGGACCTAAGCCGTATAGGGCTTTTATAAATCATGAAAATTTGGTAGCCCTCTTGGAGGACAAAGTACAGCAGCTGGAGGCGCGG